AGATGAATAACACTTAAACTAATTGTTGTAATTACTCACCCATCTCTGGAAAAAATCTCAATTTGAAACTGTCGTCACTTTAAAGAAAACTATAAGTTTTCGTTTGGAAACTCAATGCGTGCAATTTAAATTTTTTATGACAATATGTCATGTTTATCTGATAAGTGAACTTTAATGTTTATATAACATCCATTAAGTTAACAACATATACAGACCAGCAACATGTAATATACAGTTGTTATCACATCTAACCTTTCTTAGAATTTGCGACGAAAGCACTGTTACAAAACAGTATCGAGAACGGTTCCACTGTAACCTTTAGATCAGTTTCTGACAAAATGTGTTCCACCGTAGAACTGTTGTGAAAGATCCTATCCAAGACTAGTTTTGTACAGTTCTAGCGTAGAACAGTTCGACGATAGACCTTTTCTATCACTGATTATTATGACAGTTCTTAAGAAAGGGTATAAATGATCCGTACTGTATTTACAACCATACACGTAGCTTGAGATTATATAATTTGAGCGTACAAAGGTTAATTCATAACGATGTATGTAATTAGAGCATACTCGAATACATCTTTTTCAAATTATGATTCATATACATGTATTTGATAAACATGGTTCCTGCGCATAATAGTATTTAATATGATTTCTGCTCAGTAGATTAATGACATAAAATTGTTTGAAGGAATATGTATGTATTCTTTTAAATTCAAAGGATCATCACCAAAGTGAAAGACACCGATAAAATTATGAACTATAGACATATCGGTGCTAACCATGTCATTTAGTCTCTGGTGGATAGTTGTCTCATTTGGCAATCAGACCACATCTTATTGTTATATGCATGGTCATTTTGGAAATTTGCTTCTCGGATTTGATGTTTAAAACTAAATATTGGAAATCTACATGTATAAAAAGTTAAAGAGCATTTAGCTCAATATAGCTTAAAAGGAAACCCTTCAGATATACACTTGTTTAGCTGGGATAAACTTAATAGAAAAACAAAGGATATGGGGTATCCATCCATGACACGAAATCAGTAAATGCACAACAAAAAACATATAAAAAGCAAAGGAACAGCGCTTTTACTGCTGTTCTTCATCTCAAAGTCACAGTGAGACCTCAACACAGAGCAAAAAAAAAACCCTCACCTCACTGCAAGTTTAAGACGGCCCCTAGAACCGGCTTAGAATTTAACCAACTTAGTATTTGCTTTTTTCACTGACAATTACCTAAGCATCAAAACATAAGATATTAGAAACATCATGACAGGATTATAAAAATACCACTTGCTGCTAGTCAGTGATACTATTGGGAGATGCATTCAATCAAGTAATAGTTGTGAATATTGCAAGATACGGAAATTTTAAAGTCATTTGTAAAATGCAAAATGTAAAACAAACTTCATTAATTGATTTTTTAATGAATTAAGTTTTAGCTATTTAATAGCTTGCTGTGCGGTATAAGTTTTGCTCATTGTTGATGGCCGTACGTGACTTGTATTTGCTTACTTCTACGTCATTTGGTTTCTGGTTGTAAGTTGTCTAATTGGCAATCATACCACATCTCGTATTTTTATATAAGTGATGTCCATAAGGCATACAATGGGTTAAAAGGGTATAAACGATTACCAAATAATCCGAAACAAACACAAAAACCCATGGGATTGTGCTAAAAGGATAAAAATCTTTCACCAACAAACATTGAAAAAAATGAGTCAGCTAAGCTAATTATTTGAAATATCAAGTCAGTTACTTCTAAGTTTTACCATTGCAAGACCTTTTTGTATTTTGATTTCTTAAAATGAGAACGGGTTGATATTTTTGTCTGGGATTTCCACATAACATGTATGTACAAAGAATTCTAAGATATGCAAGCCAGATGACAAGTGACTTTTAATTGCCATCGTTTATATTGACGGGGACTTATTTTGACAAATGGATTTAAAGGAATGTAAATTAACCTACTGATTTAAAGGCACTTATTTTGACATACGGATTTTTTTAGGAATAAGAACGGGAAGTAGTGTATTTGTGAATTGAACTTCAAGTGCTTATACCATGTTTTAAACTCAACGAGATAACAGTGTTTTGTACTTTTTACCTTGACCAAAATTAAATTTTAACAAGTATGTACAAAACCACATAGGGAACTACAGTGTCAAAAGAAAGGATGCATTTCAATGTTTCACCTGTAAAAAATATTTTTTTTTACATTTGGTTTTATCATAATGGGAAGTTTGTGTTTATTAGTTAAAATTGAATTTAACGATTGATTAACAAAGACAAAGATGACAGAAATAATAATCTTACGGGTTTGTACTAACATGAGTAACACGACGGGGGCCACATGTGGAACAGGTCTGCTTACCCTCCCGGAGCACCTGAGATCACCCCATTTTTTTTGGTGGGGTTCGTGTTGCTCAGTCTTTAGTTTCCTATGTTGTGTTTTGTTTACTATTGTTTGTCTGTTGGTCGTTTTCCTTTTTAGCCATTGCGTTGTCAGTTTATTTTTTACTTATGAGTTTGATTGTCCCTTTGGTATCCTTCGCCTCTCTTTTAGAATAGATTTGATAAGGACGTAAAGGATTATAAAAAAAAGAGTAAAAAATGACAGACATTACTCACGAGGCAATACAATGTCCAAAATAATAAAGATTACAAAGACAGACAGCAGTCCACAATACATTGCACGCATAAAAACCCCGACTGAATGAGCGGAACGAACCCAAAACTAAAGCTCGGCTGTCCTAATGTGCTTAGCATTTCTTGGTATTTGATTTGACCATCTAACTTTTTTGATTCAAGCGCCAATAATTAGTCTAAAGTAGACGAAATGCCCCTCCGGGGTTCCAAATTATAAGCCAGGTGTTTGATTATGTTTATTTTTCTAAACACATGTTAATACTATACATGAAGAGCAAGCTCTATATCACCTCAACGTAGAAAACTTGTGATGAAATTCAATCGAGATGATCAAAGACCTTATATATATTATGATATGTATCATTTCAGGCAGTGAACATCAAAACTTGTTAATAGATTTTTCACTGAAAATGAATTTTTAAAGTCATCTGAGCATGAATGACTTTACATTAAATCAAAATGCAGGAGCCTGTAATTAAGTGGTTGTCGTTTGTTTCTGTATATCATATTTGTTTTTCGTTCATTATTTTGTACATAAACCAGGCTGTTAGTTTTTTCGTTTGAATTGTTTTACATTTGTCATGTTGCGGCCTTTTATAGCTGACTATGTGGTATTGGTTTTACTCATTGTTGAAGGCCGTACAGTGACCCATAGTTGTTAATTTCTGTGTCATTTGGTCTCTGGTGGAGAGTTGTCTCATTGGCAATCATGCCATATCTTCTTCTTTTCATATTGTTCATTCTTTCAAGCAATTTATTAATTACTTACTACAGCAGCGTTCATACACGTGATTGTGGTTAACTAAAATGTATTCAGTATAGTTACAGAGTGTGTAGAGGCTGTTAACCTGTGCTAAAACACAAATACTGAATTGTCTTAATAGGTAATGACGTGAAATGTTTAACAGTACTTAATTTACTATCACAAAAATAATACTAGTAGATAGTGAACCTTTTTTAAAATTACTGTATTTCAGATCTAGAGCATTTAAAAAATATAGAAAAAATGAAAACAACACGTTATGAATCTCATGCGTCTGAAGCGCTTTTCTGGATTTACCTTCATCAGGAACGCTAAAAGCCGAATATTTGAAGGTTGAGGATGTATAAGAACCGAAACAGTTGAAGAACTATATGACCAAAAAGGACCTAAAAATAGCCAAATTCATCTAACGGCAATTTTGCCTGAGGGAGTTAAAATCTTAGTTTTCTTATAATTTCAATATTTATAAACGGACAGTTTTAGAAAATTTGTTATAAATCATGTCAGTTCCGAAGTACTGACTACTGAGCTGATGACACACTCGGGGACTGATAGCCCACCAGCAGAGATATCGACCTAGTGCTGTAAAAAGTGAAAACAGCACGTTATAAATTTCATGCGTCCGAAGCGCTTTTATCGATTTACCTTCATCAGGAGCGCTCAAAGCCGAATATTCGAAAGCCGAGGATGAAACGAACCGAAACTGTTGAAGAGCTATATGACCAAAAAGTACATAAAAATAGCCAAATTTATCTAAGGTCAACTTTGCCTTAGGGAGTTGAAACCTTAGTTTCCTTATAATTTCAATATTTATAAACGGACAGTTTTAGAAAAATATGTTATAAATCATTTCAGTACAGAAGTACTGACTACTGAGCTGATGATACCCACGGGGACTGATAGTCCACCAGCGGAGGTATCAATCTAGTGCTGTAAAAAATAAAAACAACACGTTATAAATTTCATGCGTCCGAAGCGCTTTTATGTATTTACCTTCATCAGGAGCGCTCAAAGCCGAATATTCGAAAGCTGAGGATGAAAAGAAACGAAACAGTTAAGAGCTTTATGACCAAAAAGTATCTAAAAATAGCCAAATTCATCTAAGGTCAACTTTGCCTGAGAGAGTTTAAACCTTAGTTTTTCTTATAATTTCAAAAATTATAAACGGACAATTTTAGAATGCTTTCTTCATTGAACATGTCAATACCGATTTACTGACTACTGATCTGATGATACCCTCGGGGAGTAATAGTCCACCAACTCATCAAAGATAATAGCTTATGATTTAATAAGGTAGACCTGTGTTTTGTCGTCGAAACAAAACTTGTGGAAACCCAAATTATTTTCCAAGTTGAACTGCACTAAACAAAATCCACCCAATACTTATGCTTCATCCGCCTAGGGCCATTAGTATCTGGAAGTAGACACAGAAATATCGTAAAAAATCATCTCAGAAAACTGAGAAGCATCTCAGTTCATATTGTCATGTTTGGAACTCATGTCGTAGTATATCTTTTTAAATTTTATTTATTTGGAATTTTGATTTTTTATGCATATTGCCACCAAACTATATTACAAAAACAAATATTATTCTTCTTATATAGGACATATATGACTTTAATGTTGAAATTCTAATACATGAAGACTAGCTTGGATACATTGTAGAACGATGAAGTTCGTCTGGTCTCATAGGTACATCATCTGGTAAAATATCTACAACTTGCGGATGAAGTCTCTGGTTTCTGTGTCTGATAGTATCAGCATCAGGTCTGTAAGAGCCCATATGAGAAATAATTCCAGAAAATTTGGTGCTTCCGCTGCGCACCTGTTTCTGCGATGTTTGATTTGAAAGTCCTCCATTCTTAACGTTTGTTTGTTCAGAGTTGTCGCTAACGTCTTTCAAATACCTCTGAAGGACACCAGATTCATTTTCACCAGAGTAAATTTTTGAATCATATGTATCGTAATCTGCTGGTGGGATGTGTTGCTCGTGAGTATCATATCGAACTTGCTTCAAGAAGTCAGGTGGGACTTCTAATTTAATGGACCCATTAGACCCATGTTGACGAGTTTGGTGTCTTGTATTCCATATCCTATGCAAGTCCTTTTCTGAAATGAGGGCTTTCCCATGTTTCATACCGCTAGATTTTGATTTGTTTTGTCCCTGTTGCGCTGATGATCGAGGTCCGCCGTTGACTTTTGATTGATTCTTTGCATTCATTCGTGACAGAGAAATCTCATTATTTGAAAACTGTCCGAAATAATCTTTGTACTTGTTAGATTGATATACATCAACAGCGGATGATTTAGTCACATTCGTTTCAACCTTTTGTGTATTATCTTCTCGCACGATAGTTTGTACGGGAGGAGGTTGTTGTATTATGATATACTTCTCTATAATTTCAGTTTTTTCCACTTTTTCTCTACGTTTCTTGACTGGTTTTTCCAATTCCGAAGATGATATTGAATATACATCCGGGTCATAATAATATGGATATGCTTCGTCAGCTGGGTACATAAAAGGCATCATATCAGCCGGATAGGGCGCCATGTATGGGTATTCCTGGTGCGAGCCGTGATAGTAATCCATCCAATGTTCATATTCCTTTTCTTGTTGATAATTTTCCGATGATTTTATACGATCCGAATCAGATGGATATGAAACTGAATAGGGTGTCTGTGTGTTTGTTGTTGTTACTGTTGGTTCAGGCATCTTTTCAGGTTGTGTTTCTTCCTGCATTGTTTGAGTAGACTGTGCTTCTATTGGAACAGTTTGTGTAAATTGAGATTCAGATTGAAAAGTCTGTGTAGCCTGAGTTTCCGCTTGAAAAGTTTGTGTACATGAACTAGAGCTAATTGTTTTATTTTGAACATGTTCGATAATCGTAACAGGATTCTCTAATACAGCTGTTATTGAATATTCATTGGATACATTAGAAGGAATTGCACGTGCTTGTGTAGACATATCCACGTGATAAGATGAATCCTCAGAGCTAGCATCTATCTCACTTGTTGGGTATTCGATAGTTTGTTCTATGTTATCTCTCTCATCACTAGGTTGTACAGGTCGGGTTTCCGGTTGATAGAGCTGTTTTTCAGCATTCAATGGATTTACAGTGTAGTATTCGACAGCTAAGGGTTTACCGTTTCCAACTTCATAGTACCGTACGGAGGATATACCATTCTGTTGGGTGTGAACTGGTTTTGAGGCAAGATAATCCAGACTATTTTGGCTAAGTTGTCTACTTTGTAATGTTGTAGAAACTGTTTGCTCTTCGACAAAACGAGTGCTGAAATTTAAAATTCGTTCAAATGATAATTTACAAATTCATCAATACTAACTTCACATACCATAAATAAAATTGCATTTTGTTTGAAATTAGTCAACTGTTTATATATTATATATCTAACTCAGCATCGTCATGTTTGGTATAGAAGGAATTATTTGGTTAAAGATTTTAACACTTTTCTTAAATTTTACGTGCGTAGTTGCAATAATAATCTACAATACAGGAATTATATATTACAACCTATTTCCTTTTGTCAGGATAATTTTCAAATTCCCACTTTATGGTGAACATTCTAAGAACCTTGAAATTTTCACATTTTTTGTATATACTTTTAAAAGAGTATTTCATGAAGTTTAGTCTCGATGAACCCTTTTTAGTTAGATGTTACTCAAGCCTTGAGAGATCCGGAATTTTTATGATTTTTTTAACAATCCTAGAGAACGTTATAATATTATGATTCCAGTTTCTTTCGTTGAGCATTATTTTATGTTTTTACGTTATGTCGTAATTTCTTTAAATTTATTGGCTGTGTCTGTTATCATTTCATTAAACAAGCATCCAGATTACTATTTCGTATGTTTTCAAATATATGAGTTAATGCTAGTGCAGACATATTTTAGAGTACATGACGTTACATGATATATAACTGTAAACGAGACAATGTCCATTTAATGTCCTGTTGTTACCAGTTTTAGGTAGTAAGGCCGTTTATTCAGAAATGTAATTACAGGATTAAAAGTTATAAAATACAACGTTGCATTCAATCCCTATGTTTTTAGAATGATGAAGACATTTCTACTTTGTAAAGTTTGTTTTTTATTTAAATTTATTTCTTCTGCAAGATTAGTGTGGTTGGAGATCTTTTCCGCAAGTGGTATTGCAGTAAAATATGAGGCTATGTTTTCAGAAAAGCGTTTTAAGTAACATTCCACTATCTTTGTTTTGTCTAAATGCGAAAGGTATATGTAACTGATTTCAAACATTAAAACTAGAGCCAAGGCATACAACATGCCGAAATAAAGACATTAATAAAGCTTTTCTAAAAGGATTTGTTGCAAATAAACACAAACTTGATCCACTTTGAAATGAACCATTAATGCAGACATGTGCATTTACTTTTCCCTATACACATTCAGAGGTGAAAAATAATCATATATGTCTCTATATAATCTAAATATCCAGCTTTAGAAAAAAACATGCAATTTGATTATCAACATTTCAATTGTGAGCCTCATTTTTATAAACCAGTGCTTGGTAACTTTATTTTGTGATCTTTCATCTCAATTCTAATTACAAAATCACCAAAATACCAAACTGATAAAACAGCGAATCAACTCTAAACTAGTCGACACAAAAGATAAAAGCTATTAAAATCTTAATATCAAAATTTGAGATCAGTAGGTCACCGTTGAAGACCTCCGTTAAACTGAAGAAGAAAATAAACTCTATTTATATATAGTGTTATCTCATTTACATCAACCACACATCCTTACAAACCTATTAAGGATATATAATTAAGAAAGTCATCATACCGTTTTGCTGGATTTGCTTTCAGGGAATTCAGGTAACGAAACAGCCTGTACTTCCTTTGCCTAAAAATAAAAATATCCTGTCGCACATGATACAATAGACTATTTTCATATTACCGACTTTTGACTCCGGATTATATTATTTGTCGACTGGTTACCTTGGACATCATGGTACCAAGTGAGGTAAGAGCAAGCTAAAGAAGTAAAACCAAGCTTTCAATCGGTACAACTTTGGGGCAAAATTACCTGCTTAACATTTTTTTTTCACTACAAAATCATCGGAAAACAGTAAACTTTCCCCTCAAATTACACCGATTATATGTTTGATTTGACTTATTTTGGTTGCTCTTACTTGACCGAGTACCATGATGTCCAAGGTAACCAGTCGACAAATTATATAATCCGGAGTCAAAAGTCGGTAATATGAAAATAGTCTATTGATATGGAATAGATTAACAATATCTTATCTAAAGAAACATGTAAATGCATAAATACAACATATACGTCAGAATTTTGGTACAATGTTATTTCTTCTGCTATACAGTGCCTTCATTAATCGACAAGGATCGCTTGGAGTCACATTCTAATTTTATTTTACAGTTCATAGATTCAACGTTACTTCTGAAGAACACTTGTCAATGTTCGATTCTTTTATAGTTAATGGAGAACAACAGTGCGTATACCATTATTCGTTGATAAGCGACGGAGCGCCTGAAGTCAATTTACGACTCTTCTATAGTGAATGTAAAACAACAGTGTGTATTCATTGATAAGCAACGGAGCTCCTCTAGTAAATTTACGATTCTGTTATAGTTAATCGATTAGGTATAAGATTTGCTTAAAGGGTTTGTATAGTAAAGGTTTTTATCTTATGTTATTTTGTCCTGAAGATTTTCTTGTTTTTGATGTTCATTTTAATAGACGACGTTTTAATTCGTGCACATTCCCTTAAATTCCCTATGTTATTACGTCATAGTTAGAACTGATTATTCGATGACGTCGTTTACGCCGATTGACCTCGGGTCAACCGGTGGAAATCACTCATAAAAACAACTCGAAATTGGTGTATTATAAAAGGTAGAACATATGTAATTTAAATTTGGAAAGACACAATGAAACATGTCTTACAAATCGAGGTAGATGGGGCAAGACAACGCCAAATCATCCCCATAGAGAGTTCGCATCTCATTGTCCGTTCTTTTTTATGAGATATATTTACATTCAGTCAAACCCTACCTTCCCCTATGAAATATTACTTACCTTTTAGCAGGAATAACTTTCTGTCCTTTAATATATCCATGTAACGTCGTACTGATAAAAACAATTGCATGTTTTCACAAACAAAATATTGTCTCATATTTGTAAATTAAAGAAGACTTAATTTATCGGGGTAAACCTCCGAAAACAGTCGATGCATTCTTAATGTGTTAAAGTAATACCTTTTTCAGTTTAAAGCGTATTATTGAATTAAGCAAAATGTATTCTTCCAATACTTAAAAATGTGTTTCCGCAATATACAATATTTCACAAATAGTTATCAATATTTGCTCTTAGTTTGAGTGTAGGTTAAACTTGAAAAAGTTTTAAGATGAAAATGAAATACTTTCGAAGTTTTAACTCATACATATTTGGCTTTAAATTGCTTATATATTAGAAAGGAGCAATTCTTATTTTTATAATATATTACACAAATAAACGATTATAAATCAAAACGAAGACAGGTGTCTATAAAAATGGTTATTTATTAAGAACAAATACCTGCCATTAACGGCTATTCTATTATTGGCACTTTCTTTTCTTATTTTCCGTCGCCGTAAACAACATTCTGCTACAATTATTATGATTATCAAAGCGATAACGAAAACAGCAATAAGGCAACCAATCAAGATGTTTGTTTCATGGGAATCTGAAAAAGAAGATTTTTAGTTAAAAAAATGCTGTTTAAAAGATTTTTGTATTGATATTGTCATATATTATCTTTTCAAATTGTAGTGAATTTTATATCTAAATTTCTTAAGATGATAAAATATAATTGTATGTGTATGCTTCATTTAGCTTTATTAATCGCTTCTAATGTTAATGACATTCATATTCTTTCGTTCCCGATTGTTTTAATTAAAATTTAAAAGTATGATTCATCGTAAAGTTGATACTATCGGATCTACTATGACAACTCAATCAGTGTTACATGCCAAGGACACACAGAGAAAAGGCGATATTTCGATACAGAGAGATATAGGGAATTCCTTACAGCATTGAAGTTTATCTGTCCAATGATTTGCAAATTCCGGCACAGAGACGACAGTACTCGTAATATGTTAATAAACATTACTGGTGCAATATACTACTTTAACGATTGGCTTTAAAAGGTAAGTATACAGGCTAGATAAAGTATTTTGTATAGGTACTTACACATGTTTGCATTTTTTTGTAGTAGTTGTGAAGAACAAAATACTGTCCAAATCATTAAAATGCAAATACGGTAAGTGTGTTAACATATCTATACCAAGACAACAGAAACACTAGTGAATTATTTCGTAATAACCAAGATATGCCATTACCACTAAATCCTTCAAGGCCAAGCTGATGGAGATATAACTATAAGACAACAATTGTTATGCATGCTTCTTGAATACTTAACACGTGTTTTACATGCAATCAGTGGAATATCAAAAGATACAGAGAGGAACATTCAACACAAATCCGTTCACTTTTCTATATTATGTCTATGAATATGTTGAATGATTGCCAATGACACAACTATCAATCAGAGGCTGTGCACCCGTGGATGTAAGCATCAAGAGGTCATTGTATGCCTTCAGCAATGAGCAAAATCCCTACCGTATAGTCAGCTATAAATTCGTTCAAATGATAATTTACAAATTCATCAATACTAACTTCACATACCATAAATAAAATTGCATTTTGTTTGAAATTAGTCAACTGTTTATATATTATATATCTAACTCAGCATCGTCATGTTTGGTATAGAAGGAATTATTTGGTTAAAGATTTTAACACTTTTCTTAAATTTTACGTGCGTAGTTGCAATAATAATCTACAATACAGGAATTATATATTACAACCTATTTCCTTTTGTCAGGATAATCTTCAAATTCCCACTTTATGGTGAACATTCTAAGAACCTTGAAATTTTCACATTTTTTGTATATACTTTTAAAAGAGTATTTCATGAAGTTTAGTCTCGATGAACCCTTTTTAGTTAGATGTTACTCAAGCCTTGAGAGATCCGGAATTTTTATGATTTTTTTAACAATCCTAGAGAACGTTATAATATTATGATTCCAGTTTCTTTCGTTGAGCATTATTTTATGTTTTTACGTTATGTCGTAATTTCTTTAAATTTATTGGCTGTGTCTGTTATCATTTCATTAAACAAGCATCCAGATTACTATTTCGTATGTTTTCAAATATATGAGTTAATGCTAGTGCAGACATATTTTAGAGTACATGACGTTACATGATATATAACTGTAAACGAGACAATGTCCATTTAATGTCCTGTTGTTACCAGTTTTAGGTAGTAAGGCCGTTTATTCAGAAATGTAATTACAGGATTAAAAGTTATAAAATACAACGTTGCATTCAATCCCTATGTTTTTAGAATGATGAAGACATTTCTACTTTGTAAAGTTTGTTTTTTATTTAAATTTATTTCTTCTGCAAGATTAGTGTGGTTGGAGATCTTTTTGATTGATATTGTCATATATTATCTTTGCAAATTGTAGTGAATTTTATATCTAAATTTCATAAGATGATAAAATATAATTGTATGTGTATGCTTCATTTAGCTTTATTAATCGCTTCTAATGTTAATGACAATCATATTCTTTCGTTCCCGATTGTTTTAATTAAAATTTAAAAGTATGATTCATCGTAAAGTTGATACTATCGGATCTACTATGACAACTCAATCAGTGTTACATGCCAAGGACACACAGAGAAAAGGCGATATTTCGATACAGAGAGATATAGGGAATTCCTTACAGCATTGAAGTTTATCTGTCCAATGATTTGCAAATTCCGGCACAGAGACGACAGTCCTCGTAATATGTTAATAAACATTACTGGTGCAATATACTACTTTAACGATTGGCTTTAAAAGGTAAGTATACAGGCTAGATAAAGTATTTTGTATAGGTACTTACACATGTTTGCATTTTTTTGTAGTAGTTGTGAAGAACAAAATACTGTCCAAATCATTAAAATGCAAATACGGTAAGTGTTAACATATCTATACCAAGACAACAGAAACACTAGTGAATTATTTCGTAATAACCAAGATATGCCATTACCACTAAATCCTTCAAGGCAAAGCTGATGGAGATATAACTATAAGACAACAATTGTTATGCATGCTTCTTGAATACTTAACACGTGTTTTACATGCAATCAGTGGAATATCAAAAGATACAGAGAGGAACATTCAACACAAATCCGTTCACTTTTCTATATTATGTCTATGAATATGTTGAATGATTGCCAATGACACAACTATCAATCAGAGGCTGTGCACCCGTGGATGTAAACATCAAGAGGTCATTGTATGCCTTCAGCAATGAGCAAAATCCCTACCGTATAGTCAGCTATAAAAGGTCTGGACATGACAAAATGGGCAACAATTCAAACGAGAAAACCATTAAATGTTATGTGTATTGCTTGTGTTTTCGTCGTTTTTCGTCCAGCCATAGTGTTCCTTGTTTTCCGTCGACTAATAATGTTTCGTTTACCATTGTAATCTTCTCCTTGGTTTTTGTTTTACCTACTATTTGTTATTCCAGAGCTCACACTTTACACAGTATAAGATAAACTATATCTATAGAAAAAGTATAAAAAATGATCGCATATGCTGAAATAAACTTCAAAGTACTTTATATGTTGATTCAAAAATCAATACACGGCCTGTATATATTAACAATCTAAATATATGACAAAAAAACCCGGACTTGTTCCTTCCAGGTAAGGGATCTTTATAACTAATTAAAATGAAAACTAACCATCCCTCGTGAGTGATAACTTCAATTATGTTACAATGCTAAATCGAGTTGTAGTTTTTAAATTTTCATCTTTAGTTTGGTTAATAAAATGTCAAAAATGAACAGCACTTTAACCATTTTAATTGATAACTATTGATCAAATGTAAAATAGTCTTTTTCAAATATGTAACGATTCTCATACACGTACACTGGAATAAGAAAAATTTTACTCACCCATCAGCCGTCGAAAAATATCACTGCGAAATATTCATCATTTTAAAGAAAATTATATATTTCCGATTGGAAACAAGGCGTAAAATATATATGTAATAGAAAATATATCTTGCGTATCTGGGCGGAAACATCGTCAGAAAAGTGAATTTAAATGTTCATATTGCATCCATTTACTAAAAAACTATAAACTCCCCAGCAACATGTTACATATTTACAAATACATCTATGATATGTATAACTTGTGAACACACAAAGGTTAATTCATGTTAATGTTTTGTAAATAGCATACACCTTTTACATCTATAATTCATGCATTTGATAGAAATGGTTGCTGCACATAATTACTTTCCGTATGAGTAAATATTTTAATATGATTTTCCTGGTCATTAGATTAATGACAATTGAATGATTGGATTAATATTTTGTATAAGATTGATTTCTAAGATAAAGAACTGCAATACAAAACACGGACATAAATATATAAACCATTATGCATTTGGAATATGTATTTCTTTTAATTGGTGTTAGAAACAAGTATCTGAAATACGAATGTAAAAAAAAAAGTAAATGAACAATCTGTAGAAGCAAAACATTGCATAAAAGATAGACATGAAAAATGAACTTTAATTGCTTTTTTATAAACTGATAACTTCTTCAAAAGATGAACCAAAGACAGTAAAATAAGCTTGCTAACGGTCTCGTTAACGCCTTGATAATGTACAGCCCAGCATCAGTAAGATTAATGATGTGAAAGTTATGCAACACATTGTCTTAAATTTTGCTTTGATCAATTATTGTGAGCATTTTTTATCTCACATTTTCGAGTGATATGGGTTTTTTTTTAGTCGCGTAGATAAATAATATATGACTTCATAAGCCTACGTCATTGGTATTGTCTACGAAAATATCGATAAACAGATTATCACTGCATTTGAGTGTTGCTGTATATCATATTTATTTTTCGTTTATTGTTTTGTACATAAATCAGGCCGTAAGTATACTCGTTTGAATTGTTTAATATTTTTCATGTCGGGGCCGTGTTTGGCTTACTGTTTGGTAAAAATTTGCTCATTGTTGAAGGCCATTATATTTTAGAAAAAAAATTATAGTCCTTATATATATTGAAATGTGACGAGTATCACTTTGTTAACACAGGCAAAAACAGAGAAAAAGTAATAAACGATCAAAACCTGGTTTAATTGTCGGATTTCAAATATTTAGTTTTGAACACTACCAATGTGAAATAGATTTTTCCAAATGCATATACAATTCATATATGCATGAAAATATGCCAAGAACAAACTTATCTATAACAGAAATGTCTATACCATATTAAAGCCCTCAATAACCCGAAAGTAACTTTTAGATTTCGATTCATGTGCATCGTTAATTCTTTAAAACACGCCCAAAACAAACATTTGAAATTGACAAACTTAGTACAATTGATGAATTTCATTTTTTGTTGGTGATTTATACATCTTCTGAGAACCTTTGTTGAAAATGTTTATAATATCCTTTATCTTGAAATATTAAACGTATGTGCAAATTTTGTTTTTGTATGTTGGTTTTGTGTCAGTGTTTTCGTTATGTATGTGTGTGGGTGTTGGTGTTTTTTTTTTTTAATTTTTGATTTTCTTATTTAAATGTATCTTGTTTTCATAAAAGTTTTTCCCACACTGATCTCTTAGTTTTAAACTAAGATCCTTTACTTTTTCAACATTTGTCTGGATGTAATTGCATTTAGACGAACTGTGTTAACCTTCTATGGAGCGCTTCAATTAAGATAAATGTATATCTATATAAAAGCAAAAAGCATTTTTCGAAAATTAAAACGCTTTAGATTTCTTTGGTTTATTGCATGAACCTAAGCGCAAATACATACAAATAAATAATATTTACTTGGATAATAGTTTTATAGTCTTAATCGTAACATTAACAGTAACGTGAGAAACCATGAAATTTCTTTTTTTTTCAAAACTAACATTTTCATTTATAGCTTATGTTTGACTTCTTTTGAAGTAAGTTGATAATATACAAAATATTTAAGGAATTTTCAGCTCTGGTTCTGTGAAGTGTAATGACCTTGACTTTAATTTTGAAGGTCGTTATTTCTTAAGACATTGGCATACCTTTGTATTCAAGCTATTATATGCATTCGTATTTTATTTGTTCAACTTTTAGATGACAATATTTTATAGCTAGCAAACACTACAAATTATATATTTTTTTAATTTCGATGAAATAGATTTAAATATTTTTCTTGCTTTTCACCTGGAATAAAGCATGGAAGGTAATTTATTTTTTAAATTAGAATAAAATTGTAAACATGATTGCCCCTTTAAAAAGGTCGAGATACTATCTGGAATATTTATCGCAATATTAGTTGTATCCTAGGGTTATTGCCTGGTCGTATTTGTCACAACTTTTAATGCTCTTTAACAGATATTTATAAATATAAGACAAGAAATGAAACTGAATTAACTGTATCTGTATTATCCCTCATTTCAAGGTTATCTACTTATATGATTTGGACTTCTAACTGTTTTGATTCGAGCGCCACTAATGAGTCTTATGTAAATGAAACGCGCGTCTGGCGTACCAAATTATAAACCTGGTATCTTTGATTTTTTTTAATGGTACTATCTTTTAAATGAATCTCAACTTATTAAATTTGAATGCCGTTTTTCAAAATCTATAGATCTCGTTCTAACCTGCCCCATTTACGTTCTTAAGGCAAATAACCTCGGACATCAAGTTGCAAAATAAACGTATGGAAATAGTTTAACCCCGCCCAATGTTAAAGTGTTTGTCCTATGTAGAAACCTTTTCAGTTTTGTCTAGTCTTGGTTTATATCCTGTAAATAAATAGTTAATGAATGCAGTTTTCTGTAAATTTTAGGACTAATTGTCTACTCTAGGGTCAGTTTAGAGCTTGCAATCTTGTAATGAGGTGCATTTTGTTGAAGATGGTATGTTGACATTCAGATGACTATTATTGTCTCCTTCATAGACGAATACACCACTATTTTCATTCAGTTTGAACACAAACAATAAGTGCCTCAAACTTTTAATGTAATTGAATTTCTGTTATATATTTTTCAAAAATATTTCTAGCTATAAATTGATCACTGCGTGAATAATACAAATTCCAAATCCGGTTTTATTAGTAAAAATAAAGTGTGTTCATGAAATTTAATTCAATATATTTATAATTTCCCACCGTTCGACAGTATATTACTGTCATAACGGTACTAGTGAATACTGAATATCAATACGGGTACTTCATACACGTACATGTCACGTGATATTGAGACTGCTTGTCAAACATCAAACTTGACAAAAATGAAATAAAGTTCAATATTATTCATAGTTACATACCATTTTACATACTATATATTTGTAAATAAACGTGTATTTTATTTGGCTGCATACACACTTAATATGTATTCATATCACAGTGATTCATATACACAAACATTTCATTCATACTGTCCAAAGTAAAACTCTTGAGACGATCTTTCGAGCATTGGGTTTTGGACACATGTTTCCGACAATTTCCACTATACTTAAACTGTAGTCATTTGACTGCATTTTAAATGTAGTTTGACTGAGTTAACTCCTATTTGTTATTTTTTTTTCTAGCCGGCGTGATCGTTGAGGAGAGAGCATAATATTTATTGTACACACATGATCATCAGATTATATTTGATTTTTATGCTCATAAATTATGTAATTTCATTATATATTTATAATTACAAATACTGTGTGTTATATAGGTAAATTCGGTTTCCACCAGTTGGGCTATCGGCTGTATATAGAGATTTTAGTAGTTTTTATTGATATGCTTATATAGTTTAGAAGAGTTGATACTTGATTTCTTTGACATGGTATATTAGGTCTATAAGACCTATTACAAGTGCACCCTGAAATAGCTAACAAACCTTCATTGTGTTTAAAAAAAACTCGTTGTTTGGCTTACAAAATAACTTAATATCATAGAATTATGAATCCGATATAGATATACATATAGCATGAATACTGAAAGAAGGAGATATTTAAGAACGTGTATATTTCTTAATACAACTTCGATAGGTCAGATGGATGTCTACATAAATTTATCTTACACATACATAGAGCACAAAAACTACACAGAAAACGTTCGATTGAGCATCACAAACCACCTCAATAACAGGAGGTGACTCTTGTCCAGTTTTATGCTCTTTTTCAACTACCAAATCTTTGTTTTAGATTTGTATGCAATAATGTTTTGAAAATTAATGTGCTCACATTTTTCATAAAAAAAACAAACATGATTTAATAAATTTTTACTGTTTCCTACAACAAAATTTGAACAATGACTTCACATCACAATTAACGCAAAATTAACACTCAAGAAAGTTGCGGCTTATTTCGGCATTTTGGTTGAAGGTCGTTATCCTTTGTCCTTGACTTTGAAGTTCCCTTTAGATGATTTTTCATTGTTGGTTTTCCTTTCTGTATTTGTTAAATGTGCAACTGAGCTTTAAATTCACTAAACGCCATATTGATGAGAACAGTCATGACTGTAATAAATAAGATTATTATTCATTTAGTAATAATAATGTTGTTTGCAAAGTATAATACACTAATATAATAGTAAAAACTACCTAGGGATTATATTTTTCATTATACAATTAAAATTGTTTTGGTTTCTTGCAATGTTGGTCATTAGGTATTATTTTTTTAATATGACAAATTAATCATCTACTGCAGTGTATGAATTAAAATCGGGTGTGTTATCGTTCAGTCGAATGACGTAATTCATGATTTAATAAAAGATAATGAAATAACTCAGCCGTACCCTTTTACTTGTATTAAGTCAGTCCGTTGTTCTATTTGAGAAATTCATTTATTAAGAAAATGTGGTATGATGGCCAATTGGACAAATTTCTATCAGAGATCAAATGATTTAAAATTAGAAACCAAATGTCATCGTACGGACTTAAACACTGCGCAAAACCCATACCGTATTGCAAGCTATAAAAGGCTCACATGACAAATGTAAAATATTTCAAAAAGAAAATTTAAGGCCTGATTGATGTACAAACAAATAAACGAAAAACGAACATATACAGCAACAAATTACATTCACTGAATTGTAGGCTCCTGATTTCGAGAAAGCACAGGCATAGTGTGGCGGTGTTAAACATATTTGCGACTACCTGCTGCCAACCTGTTCTAACCCAGGGGGATAAGGGGGTTAACG